TGTGTGTGTGTGTGTGTGTGTGTGTGTGTGTGTGTGCATGTGTGCGTGTTCTGTGCATCTATAAATGTACAACTATCAATGAAACAAGCTTGAAAAAACCCTATTTCGTATTTTTTAAAAAGAATCAGGGCTGATAGTTGTCTACCAGGTCATTTTCTCTATGTGTCTTCAGCAATACGTTCTTACCATCAGATTATGGAGAGTTACCAATGGCCTTGGAAAGAGTCGGCAGTCACATTGTATTTACTGATTTATATATAAATAGCAGTTCTTTATAAATAAAATTTCTACAAATTATATCAAATATAGAGGATGATAAAAGATGTGACAGTTGGGATGGAGAAACAGAGAAATTGGCAATGTGCTTGTTGTACAAGCATGGGGACCTATGTTTGATTTTCAGAACCCATAAAAAAGCTGTGTGTAGTGGCACATGTTTGTTATTTCACTACTGGTATATTTGGGGCAGGCACCCACTGGACAGCCATCCTAGCCTAAAATGTGAATTACAGATCAGTGAGAGACCTTCTGAACTAAAAAATACCAAGGTGGAGAGTACATGAGGAATGAAACTAACCTTTGATCTTTCGCTTCCCTTTCTATGTGCAAACATACAGATGTGCTCCCAGACAACATGAGAACACACATATGACACCATGAGGACACATGAAGCATAAGTCTAGCTATGAATTACATAGTGAAGGCAACTGCAATTGAGTCTAGAATATAAGAATGCATCATGACAAGGACATGGATTTAAAATACCTGATAAAGAAGAAATACAAATATTCATGCAAAGCAACAGAACTGGAGAACATTTAATTTTATAAGAGGTCATTTAAGCTTATGTCAACATTGGAAAATGTACTGTGAAAGTAAGAAGAATTTATTTACTGAAAAATTAATGGGCACCCACAGAGATTCAGGACTGTTGGAGCACACAGACTTCTGATCCTTTCTTATCTCCCTTATGTGACAATTAGGGATGGAGAAACACTGGTAAAGTGTTTTTTTGTGCAAGCATGGGGACCTACGTTTGATTTGCAGAACCTATAAATAAGCTGTGTGCAGAGGCACATGGTTTTCATTGTACTGCTGGTGAGGTGGGGGCAGCCAGGTACCTACAGCTCACTGGACATCCAGCTTAGCCTGATAAGTGAGTTACAGGTTACTGAGAGAACTCCTGTACTAAAAATTCAAGGTGAACAATACCCAAGGAATGAAACTAACATTGGCCTTTGGTTTCCACTTGTATGTACAAACATACAGTTGTGTTCCCAGCCCCTATTTGAAAATGCACACATGTGACAGTAAGGACTTATGAAGAATTAGAGTGGCTATCAATTATGTAGTTTCGGCATTTACACTGAGTCTGGAGGGTAAGAATCAAGGAATGTCTGTGTTTCCAAACTGGAATGGATGCATCAGGATAAGGACATGGATTCAAAAGAAGGAGTATTAGCTGATAAACAAGAGATGCTTACAATTACACATCCAAAGTGGCAGAATTGGAGATCATTTAACTTTATAGGAGGTCATTTCAGCTTATGTCCACATTAAAAAATGTACTTTATGAGGAAGAAGAATTTATTTTCTTAAAAGGAAATGGGTACCCAGAGGGATTCAGGACTGTTGAAGCACACAGACTTCTGATCCTCTTTTATCTCTGGAATGATTTTAGGTGAACAGGCCTGGGAAACTCATACCTTTGGGTAAGGAGCGCCCATCAGGGAAGGTGACAGGTGTGATGAGTTCTCTGACAATGGCTGGGACAGGTGGGTAGAGCCTCAGGGCCTCCTTGATACACATGGTGGTGTAGGGCATTTGGTCCAGGTGGTCCCTGAAATAAGGTCCATCCTGAAGGTCAGGTAGACTGGAGACCAGGGGCTCCTCCATACCCAAAGAACAAGGGTTCTTCTACCTCTTGAACTCTTACCAGGTTATAGAGGATCCATCTCCCAGGAGGCTCTGAACTTCCTCCCTGCATCTCTGCTGGTGTTCAGGGTGTGTGGCCAGAGCATAGAAGATCCAGGAGACTCCACTGGCTGTGGTGTCATGACCCTCAAACATGAATGTGTCCACCTCAGCACGTATGTCCTTGTCAGACAAGCTATCCCCATTCTCCATCTGAGGGAAGCAACGGTGTCATCAAAGCTGTGTGCTCCCAGGCAGACTCTGTGTGATACACAGGCCTCTGTGACACACTCACCCTGGCAAACAATAGGATATCCAGAAAGTCCAAACGTCTCTTCTTCTTGACCTTCTCCAGCTCTTCCTCATCCTGCAGTTGATCCTTTCTCAGCTTGATCACTCCATCTGTTCCAGAACAGCAGTTATCACAGAGACCTGAGAGCTACAGCAACATCATGTTTCCTTGCTTTAAGCCATGTCTTATATACAGATCAGTAACTAAAGAGTGGGCAGGGTTGGAGGACCAGAATCATCTGATGCAGGTCAGACATCCTTTCTGGACCACAGGACAAGGAAGTTCTGCTTGAACTGCTGGGTCAGATCTCACTAAACATTGCCAATATGATGAGTCCTACATAGCATCTGGCATTCTGACATCCCAACTTAAACATTTGCAGTGTGAAAGTATCCCCATGTGTGTGACCCAGGTACTTTAGGGACACTGAAGGGTCTACATCTCCCTCTGAATTTATTAATAGCCAGCCCCTTTTAGATAATTCTGGGAAATGAGGGAGTCATGAGTTACAGACAGAACCTGTGTGATCATGGGCGAGTTGACAGGCTTGGTTGGCCATGCGGCCATTGGAAGACAGACTGTAGATGGTGTCATTCTGATGAAAGATGTTCCTCACACGGGAATAAAATAGGTTGTTCAGGTTCCCAATGGCCTGGATGTATGTCTTGTAATTTCTAAAGAAGAAGACACACAGATTAATAGATTAGATTGTGAAGAGATCTGACCAGCAGATAGATGGACTCTGGTAAGACATTTTCTGTATGGTAGAGACAGAAAGCATTGAGGCACAACATTAATTCTGTCTTATAGGCCTTGTCATTTTCAAGACTGCTGAAGGAGGCACTAATGTCTAGACACCAACCTCAGTTAGGAATGTGTAGTCTGTGATTGGGGCAGGGCTGGTATGTGTCAGGAACTGACCTGGGGCTGGGGTCATACTCTAGAATTTTTTTTGTAGAGGCAAGGTCCAACTTGCCTTACCTGCATGTCAGATGAGGATATACCAGCTGGTAAGACCAAAGGCCCTGAAGTTCAAGGGTTGTCACTCACCCATCCACCTGGACACTACCCTTGTGGCTGAAGGCACACTTCATGACAGTGTCTAGGGTCATCAAGGAGATGTGTTGAAATATCTCTATAGAGGAGTCCTGACCAGCCAGCTGTTCCCATTTGTCCTGCAGTGTGAGGGGAACATTGTCCGAATTTCCAAAGGAGACTTGTGCTCATTATACTGTATTATTTCTCTATATTTTCAGATGCTGTGTTCTAAGTCCTTCAATTTAGATAACATGTTCTATAGATTGCAAAACAAATCTTTGTAAAAGAATAGCTAAATTCCTGTAAATTATTTCATAATTGAATATAAAAACCCATAAGATAGTAAACAAGTTTCAAGTGTTTCAACTAGTTAAGATGTTTTATCTGACAAGGAAAATTGTTTTAGGGGGCAAAGAAGGTGATGCACCAGGGTTAGGAGTGTTGAGGCCAACCTGAGACAATGGTAGGACTTCAATGCATCAAGCAAAGGAAGCCACTATGGGCATTTCTAACAGGGTCACTAGTAACTTCAATTACTATGTATTCATCAAATATTGCTGAGAACAATTGAATAGAATCCAGAGTCCTGTTGAATGTTAGTGGTATGGCAACATGGTTTTGGCAGACCTTTCCCTGCTGAGTATCATCCTGGGAAGTCTCTCTTAAATTGAGGACATGAAGAGGAAATTGGAATCTCTATCTACCATGATGTTCTTTGTCTTGGTCAACGAGCAAGTATGACCATATCCTGGTACCTGGCACTGTTTCACCTCTGTTTGAAGAACCTACATTCATAGTAGAACACACATGGAGAGCCTGTTGGTGTCCACTCTGAGTAGGCAAAGAGTGAGCTTGACAGAGAGAAAGGAGAGGGGAGTATGAGCAGTAAGAGGAGAAGGATGATGATGATGATGATAATGATGATGATGAGGATGATGAGCTGTGGTAGTAGTAGCAGTAGCAGACCCAGAACCTGATGTAGAAAGGACATCAGTGCTGAGAGCAGCAGAGGAGAAGAAAGTCAAATGAACTCACCAGCATCAACCGGACGGAGTCAGCCATGGTTTTCACATAGGGCTTCAGAATGTCATAGTGGAAGGCTGGGGTTAGCATCCGCCGGTGCTGGAACCATGGCTGTCCATTCAGCAAGAGCAAACCATAGCCTGTGCCAGAGACGGGTGTGTGCATGTATGAGATGGATCAGAGAGACAGTTAGATAAACTTGGGAAGGGGTGTGAAGTGGAGCTGAGGATGACAACTCTGAAAAATGGTACAGTTCAGAACATGAATTGCTTACTTTGTGGGACTGGCATACATTCTGTGATTATGACAGCTTTGGGATAAAAATTGCAAAGGATTTGATGGGGGTAGACCAACGAGGAACATACACAATATTTAGATATGATTGCTTGGTGAAGTGCAGGGTCAGAAGTAGAGCTTCTACTTCTTTGTGGGGTGGGTAGGAGATCAAGACAGTTTTGTTCTCTGTGAAAGAGAGTCACAGAACTTGCAAAATCTAGTCGGGACTAGACCAAAATTCCAATTTATACATACATACCAATCCAAGGGGCCAGCAATCTATAGGCACCATTAGCCTTTGGATCTGAAACAGAAACAAGAAATTGGAGAAATAAGACAACTCCGAGGCAGCTGTGGTTGAAGTCATGGGCTTCTGTGATCTTTTAATGGCTGTCTGTTGGCAAACTGTCCTACGCCATTGTCCATTTCCTCATATCTCTTTCCAGCTTTGTCCAAACAGTTAGGCTTAGGAAGGCAGGATTCATGTACCAAAGCTGGACTCTCCCAGGGCTGGATGATGAGTTGGTGAAGAACAGTCCATGTGCTCAAAGTCAAAGAACAGGACAAGTGTGACAAGTGTGTGTGTGTGTGTGTGTGTGTGTGTGTGTGTGTGTGTGTATTACAGTGGATCATGACTTAGTTATGCTATGATTCCAAGCAGGTAACAATTAGAGATTTCAAATTCAATCCAATATGTGTCTGATGTGTGTTTTTCAGACCTAGAACAGTTACAGGACATTCCATCTTAATTTTATTAGATAACAGAGGTAACAAAGTTTGACTAAGGGGTTTGAAATTTTAATACTGAGTGCTGTAGGCCATGTTCTGGGTTGTTGCCCAAGAGAATGGTAGATAGAATGTATAGGGAAATGGCTGAGTGGCACACTCTTCTGAAATTTGACACCCTAGAGCTAATTACAATGAGGAAGGCACAAATCTTTTCACAATGATTTTTTCTTACCTGATCGCCCCAGGATTACCTTCATGTAGTCAGGGTCATAGACAGTAAAGTAAGCTTTGCTCCCCCAGAACCAGCGAGGAAAGGCGCTTGGAAAGTTCTCCACACACTTCATCATCTGCTCTATCTCCTGGTCACCTTGGAACTGCTGTTGTGGGAAAGATAAAGCAGTGGGGCTCTAGATTAGTTTTCTAGACTGGAGGCAAAGCAGAACGGGCACACCAACATAGTTCTAGCGTTTTCAGAAGCATCCCAGGATTTGGAGCAGTTTGAAGGACTATCTGTGCTATCACTCAGAGCTTTGCTACATCAGGGACTGGTCCTGAGCTGGAGTTGTCAGTGCTGTTGGGTGGATCCTCAGCTGTTCACACAAGCACCGCATCCCCATCTCCTTCTAAGAGCATCCATTGCACAATCCTTTGTTGAATGCTTCTCCACGTATCCTCCTACTTCTGGGGTTGAGAGTAGAAGGAGTCAGTGCTGTCCTTTCCCAATATGCAGGCTGCTACACCATCTTCTTCCTGGGAGATCTCAGACTCCTGGGCCTGGTCTTGACCTGAGCACTGTGTCACAGTGAAGTGATGGTGTACTTGAATCTAAGTAGCTTTCAGTGCAGGCTGTGCAGAAGGATAATGGAGGGCTAAACAGACCCCGAGGAAATTCTAACATCAGTGCCCTCATGTGAGGACACTACACTGCCTTTTTCTTTTATGTGCCCTGACTTTAGGATTTCAGTTGTAATTCACCCATCTTCAATCTTCCCTTGAGAGAAATTTCTGGGGCAGTTACCCAGTCATCCCAGCAGTGTGAGCTTCTCCTATGCTTGGCAGCTCCTGAGATATGTGCCATTGCTATGCCAAGAGCCCCACAGGTGCAAGGTTTCCATCTCACTGATGCCTGCCTTCCCAGGCAAGCTCTGAGTTTGGGAGAGAGTATCTGTGTTTGACAATGCAAGGAACCTCCTAGAAGCTGTTTGAGAACCCCAGAGGTTATTGAAGGTGCTTAGCCTGAAGAGGAGGAGACTAGGTAGGCTCAACCAAAGCCTTCCAAGTGCAGGGCTATCAGTACAGAGCTGAGCAACAACCAAACAGGTTGAGCCACCCTAATGCTGGAGAGTATCTCAGTCTGAGCTGTGTGTCTCATGAAGTACTTGGACTTCTTATACAGCGGGCTGTATCCTGAGATCTTGATGGTCAGTCTCTGAGACCCCCCATCCTCCCTGCTCTCCCACCACCCTTCCCTTTCCTTCATACCTTGTGTCCCAAGAACCAGTGAAAGGGCGGGGATGGGAACTGCTGGAAAGCCTTGAGCAGCCATTGTCTGTGCAGGTAGAACTGGACCACTTTGAGCAGCAGCAGAAGCAAGCCAAGCACAGAGACCACTTGCAGGAAGCCAGAGATGCTACCTACAAATCTGCTGGGGCTCAGAGCAGAGACACTCATGGTGCAGGCACTCCTGAGTCACAGACTGTCCTCACTCTCAGGAATCCTTTCTACCTCCTGTATAAATCCTGTAACGACTTCCGGCCTAGCAGTGGGAGGGAGAACGGTTAAGGCAGACAGAGCTTGTTCTCAAAATGCAGTTGGTCAATTAAAGTGAATGATTTACTTTGAGAGGCAGAGTTATGATTTGTAAGCTGACACTGGCTAAGTGCTAGACCTGCGCCGCTTTCCTTCCTTTCTGTTAGTCTGAAACATTTGTATATTTGCCTTTTCACTTTCCTTTTAATCGTATCTTTCTTATATACATTTATGGGGTATAATGTGATATTTTAACACATGCATACCACACTTATTTTTAAGCAGAGTATTTATCATTTCTTTAAATATTCATCCATTTATTTTTATTTTTTTCTTTCAATGAGATACTTATTTTTAAAAATCAAGCAATGTTTTTATATTCCTGCTGAAGTTGTGTATGAGTGAGGGGCGATCACCATACCTGGCTCTTTCCCTGTGCTTCATGTTTTAAGTCTGTGGCTTTTGTGAGTTGGACATACCACAGAAAACAGCACCTAGATAGTTTTTCTGAAATGTCTGTGGAAAATGAATGGTGAGTGGTTCTAATTCAGTTTGCAGAGCATCTAGGCACTGCTGCCTTTCCTTTTCTAGGTCTCAGGAGCAGTCCATGCCTTGTGATGCCCAAAGTTCTGGATGTCTGCATTGCTCCTAGGCCATTCATCTGCTGCCTGAAAGGGGTTGATCATCCTACTTTGATGTTGAGCACATCTTCCAGATCCAGTTTCTCTTGACTGGGCAAGTCTGAGAGTCAGCTCATGGGACTTTCTCTGATCCACACACACATACCCCCCACACACACACATATGCAGGCACACATGCACATTCACTCACACATTTTTTTTCTTTGTTAACTATTATGTCTCGCAGGGTCATCAGTGATGTTTAGGATCCTATTATTTCTACTGCTTCAGTTCAGTCTGGGCTCTATTTCTGTGGGGCAACAGATGATGCAGACCTGGCTTTTCTTGACATTGACTAATGGCAAAGGAAGCCAGGCTAGACAGGGTCTATGTGCCCTTTTAGCACACAGACTGCCTATCTTCCTCCCTCATTCCTGTCTTGATTTGCTTTTCTGGAACCAGTGTGTTTCTTTCCATTCTTCCACACCATCTTTTGAGGTCTTGTAGACAACATATAATTTAATTTTGCTTTCGAACTCTATTCAGCCAAACTAATTCTTTTAATTGGAAATTTTAATCCATTTCTGAAAAGTTTCTGTTGTGGATTTGGCATATTTCTCTTGTTTTAGAATTTCTTACCTTTACTTTTGAGAGCTTGAATATAGTTTGTTTTTGACAGGACCATATCATTTTAATCTAAACAGAGTCCTTTGAATTTATTGTACTTAGTTGCCATGCATTTCTTAATATTTGGAAGACTTCAGCTATTATTTAACTTAATAGCTCTATCTATCTATCTATCTATCTATCTATCTATCTATCTATCTATCTATCTACCTATCTCTGTGTATGTTGCACATGCATGCCATAATGTGTGTGTGGAGTTCAGAGGACAACTTATAGGAGTCAGTTTTCTCCTTCTGTCATGTGGGTTCCAGAGATGGAACTCATGGTGTCAACTCAGAAGCAAGTGCTTCTAACCCTAACCTCCTCACCAGCCCTCACGAAGTAGGTTTCTTTTCATTCTGTAACTCCTTTAATGTGAATAATTTTCACTTATAGTACATTGTTAGCCTTATGTACTTTGTTTTTGTCTTTTACCTTTTTTGGGGGGCATCTGGTTGTGTTGTTTGAAAAGCCAGTCTTCAAGGTCATAATTCTTCCTTCTGCATAATGTAATCTGCTATTGAGACTCTCAGTGGTATTTCTGTTTCATTTCTTGAGTTCTCCGTAGCATCTCTTTGGTTCTTTTTATGATCTCTATTTGCTTTCTGAGGTTCTCATTCAAGTGATGGACTTTCAATTTGTTTTTAATAAAATCTGTATTCTTCTACATCTTGTCAAGTCCCCTTAAAAATCAACATTTTGAGTTTTTAAGGCAATGAATTGATTTCTTTTTGTTGCACTTACAAGAAAGTTATTTTTTATTATGTTAGTTGTATCTTTATTCTTATAACTGTGTATGTGGTTCATCACTTGCCTCTGCAGATTTTGTAGGATAGTTTTTTGGTTGTTGTTTTGTTTTTTTGCAAGGGACTTTCTTCTGGGTGTCAGTAGGGTAGTTACACTGGTTTTAGTTCCAGCATTGTGGTATCCATGAAGTGTCTTCACTTACAATATCAACATTGATGTCACCTATGCATGTATGTGTTTCAGTGGTCTAGCCCACAAGTATTTGTTGGCTTTTTCTGAAAGGTCTTCTTAGGAAGTTGGCCTCTCTGTAGCTGTGAGACCAATGCATGCCATTGTGTCTGAGGGTGGGGAGGTCACATATTAGTTTCTGTTGTTTACATCAGGTAGGCCTTATAGACCCAGGAAAGCAAGGTATGACTAGCACTGCAGGGGGTAGCGTGGGAATGTACAGCAGTGACAGTGTTTAAAAATTAGACCCACTTGGGGAGCCTCTCTTAGCGAAGCTGTGTGGTATTGACTGGAGCCTGAATGACTGGTTGTTCCTGTGCATAGTTTTCTCAAGGGGCACTGCTGTGCCTACCTAATAAGAACAGCTCTGGGTTCTTTCCACAGCCCTTTGGTGGCGTGTTTTATACTTGTTGGCCCACACATAGCTGTGGATGGTCAGGATGATGATTTCTGCCTACTGTATAATTCTGATGAGTAGAAATAATACTGGAATATTTTACACTACTCAGACTGACATATTCTCAGTCACAAAGACAGACTTTTACAGGACAGCAGCTTACTGTAGATTTCAGAGCAAATTCAAAGCAGGCTTCTTGCCTCTAGATACAAAATATCTGGCTGCCCCTAGAGACAAATACATGAGGTCATTTTCTTAGGTATTGTTTTACTGATTCAAGGTCAGAATAGAAGCAACCTTAGTAAGCATAACTCCCTGCAGCAATGGACTTTTCTGTATGGATTTCCCAATCCCAAGGTTTAGCCAGTTGTTTACTTTCTGGGAATCCTTACCAACTTACAGCAATGTGCATGTGTCAATGTGACACTACTAGCCTAAGAGAAGCTACTTGACATACCTTGTGTTATGAGAATGGGTCAGGCCCTGAAAATGTAACTATAATTGTCCAGAGTTTGGCTGTGAGAGTAGCAAAGGCGGTGTGGAGAGGAACAGCTGTGTAGAGCTAAGTGAGTGCTGCTGCAGAACATGGAGTGTGTGTGTGTGTGTGTGTGTGTGTGTGTGTGTGTGTGTGTCTTGAGTGAGAGATGGAGAATAAGAAGCATGAGAGGGGGCAGGAGAGATGGCTCACAGGTTAAGAGCACTGTCTGTTCTTCCAAAGGTCCCGAGTTCAATTCCCAGCAAACACATGGTGACTCACAACCATCTGTAATGAGATCTGGTGCCCTCTTCTGACCTGCAAGCAGAATATAATAAATAAATAATATTAAAAACAACCATAATGTTAAAAAAGAAGCATGATAGAAGTGTGAGGGGTGAGTGGATGAAAGAGTGAGTGAATGATGTAAAAGAAGTATGTGTGAGAGGGTGTGTATGTAAAGAGAATTATGTAACAGCATGCATGTAATGAGATACTATAACTGAATATAGAGCTATGTAACTGAGCAGGAGATAGATGTATGTATGTAAAGAGAGATGGGGAAAAGAAACTATTTAAGTTGAAGTAAAAGAGGAGGTTACCATCATGAAAGCATTTGCATGTCCCTTTTTTCCCTGGGTTACCAGCAGAAAGCATGTATTTCTTTTTTCTCCCCTCACAGATAGAAAAGCTTAGCAACCCTCAGTTAAGGATTTTTCTAACCCTCCTCTACTCTGAGGTCATCTCTTTATTTTCCTGGAGCAGATCTGGGAGCTGGCCTCCATGCTCTTCACCTTCAGAGCACAGCACTAGAACGGAAATTGATAGTTTCTGAGGTCCCCCGGGGACAAGGCTACTGAAGGATCACAAGGGTATAGTGTTGAGTACCTAGTAATGGATAAGGGACATGTATCAGTGTGTGGGGGCTGTGTGGGCCAGGCTCCTGTAGAGGTCATTATTTTCCCAGACAGGGTAATCTATGTAGTTCAGGAAGTCCTGGAGATCTCTTTGTAGACCAGGCTGGCTTGGAACTCATGTAGATCCACCTGTCTCTGACTCCCAAGTGATGGGACTAAAGGTTTGCACCACCATGCCCAGTCTCTTGAAGTTCTGATCAGACATAACATAGCATGCCTGGCAGCAGGAGTGCAGCACTCCTCACTGTGTACTCTGTCCCTGCACTGTTCCAGAGACAGACCTGACTGGGGTGGCAAGGGAATGAAGGAATGACAAACACATATACAGAGACACTGACACACAGAAACAGCTGGGACTGAGTGGGATGGGGTCTCTGATGGAGAAACTGAAGCTCTCCTTCCCAAGCTCAGTGTGTTTATTTACACAGTTGAATAAAGAGGCCCAGTTTTTCACACAGTTGGTCAAGGGGGTGGTTTTAGTTAATCATGGTAGTCAAGGCTTCTACAGGGGAGCATTCTTCAGGCTCTCCAGGGGGAGAAAGCTATGGTGGCCACTTTCTGCACACACTATCAATATCTGCTTATGGATCTGAGGAAGAATTTGCTATCCCCCTGAGACTCACCCAGGGAAGTGAAGCTTTGCCATTTTCCTACAGGTTTGAGGCTAGGGTCCTTGACATGGCCATGCCCATGTCAACAACACACATTACTCAATGCTTCTTTTATTCAGGGCCTTTTCCACTCCTCACAGTTATCTGAAGACCATGCAGGGGCTAAGTTATAATAGGCTTAGATAGGAGACCAGTTAATCTTAATGAGCTGCACACTATTTCTTCATGGAGACTTTATCACTGAATTGATCAGGGTGGGCT